TGAAGGGAAGGCAGACAATAGAAACGTGCCGTGAAGAAGAAGACGGTCCCGATAGAAACAGAGCGGCCGAAGGCTTGTGACGGGAAAAATATTCAGACTCAAATTAATGGGGGTAAGTAGGTAATATCACAATTGAAATTAATTATTCACAGGTCTCTGGAGCCTTAGGAAGCATTTCAGGATTTCAGGGGACTTTTCCTGAATAAATTGTCTTTTGTGGGACCTGTGTGTAATTTTCCCAAAAAAAAAGGTTAACGGAGATTTTCAATTTTTTTTCTGGGCATTGGAGGCATTGGTACGTATCCGTTGGCGCGTCTCATCACTCATTAATCTTAATAATCAATTATCAGTATTAATTATTTGTATAAATATATATGTGCGTGTGTGTGTATATATTACGGAAGAACTTATAAGCTATGTTATTTTTCACAATACTTGTATTATATTTTTTAATTTTTTATATATTAGTTATATAATTTATTATTTTAATTACGATAATTTGTTTCTAAAATCATGAAATTGAATAGTAACAAGTTATCGGTTAAAATGGTAAGCAATTTCATTCTCGTAAGGAGAGATTAATCTCAAACACAAAGTAATATATCCAATTATTTAAACCACGACTTGCTAACTTGATGCCTGGTTCGACTTTTAAAGCATTGTCTTTAACATAAGAGTTATTTAAATATCTATGTTTTTTTAAAAAAATTTAATCAATAAAAAATAATTCTAGTACATATATTTTCAAAATTTATAATATCTTGTAAAATTTATTAATTTTTATTATATTACTTTTTTTAAATCTTAATTTTTACAACTTATTTATTTAAAATTCTTTTAAATGGATTAAGGCATATTTTATACACATATTTTTATGCATGACATATTATAAATGATGTAAGCCTAAAATATTATATCAATTATTTAAATTTAAAGCCCTTTTAAGAAGTTTATGGTGCGAGTACATTAATCACTATTACCGACAGTGGATATCTTGAGCTCAATAACAAAACAAATGGCAAAGGTGCACCCATCACTTTAAATTATTGTTAGAGATACATCTAGTATTCTAAACTATTTAATAGTACATTTTTACCCTTAATCTAATAAAAAAGAGCAATTCCATCATAACTTAGCAATTGCTTGACATTGTTTGATAGGTGCACCCAAGCTCATCCCCTTTTAATTGTTTGAATTTGATTTGAAAGGTGCAACTTTAATATCTTTAATAAATTATTTTCAAATAAAAAATTATTTTTTTAAAAATAATAGTTAAGAAGTTATCTTTATTTTAAATTATATATATAATAAAATAAATATTTTTTAAAAAAAATTAAATTTGGACTATCCATATATATATATATATATATATATATCAGATTTGGCTCATCAAAGGGTAAAGGCTGGATGCTCATTTGTTTTATAAGCATCCAAATCGGATCCGTCAGTCTGTATGGTTTCCGAATCTTGCTTAGATCTCATTTTTTGAATTTTGTATCATTATTTAAAAAGAAATGTCCCCCTGTCAAACAGAGTAAAAAAAAAAATGTTAAGTTGGGGTGAAATTGCTTCTTTTTAATAAGATTGGGATAAATTTGCACTATTAAATAGCTCAGAGTGGTGGATATGCACCTCCAAAAGCAACTTTACCTCTTCAAAATTTAATGTTTGTAAACATATTTTTTTTACAAATGTTTATAATCACATTTAATCAAATGTATATTTATTAATAGAATTAATCAAATTTTCAATCAAATTTTTATATTTACATCAACCAAATCATTAATATGAGCTTCTTTCTCAATATAAGAAAAAGATTAAACAAATGTTACTCATGATGAGAGAGTAAAAATGCGAAAGATTTGAGAATAGTTCACCAATAAACATCTAAATAATGAAATTATATGTATAATTTTAGTCTTGATTTGTAGATATTTGATAGGCACACAAGGGACACATACGATGACCTGTTTGGAGCGAAGTGACAATACAAGTAGTGTGATAAACATAGCCACAGGATGTTGCTGAAACATCATCAAACTTTTCGAGGCAGATACTACATAGCTCTGCCTTTGTTTCTTAGTTAGGCATTCAATCAAATATATATTTATTAATAGAAGGCTTGATGATACGCTTCCTCTAACTCTCGAGGATCCTCATGTTGAGGGGTATTCTCAAGGACGTAAAAAAAAGGCATATGGTGGCCACAATCATAATCAACATATAGAAATATACTTCTAGTGGTATTAAGCGAGAAGAATTATCAGTAGTTTCATGTTGATCTCTTTCTTGATAATAAGATGTGATTTCAGATGCCAAAGTTTTGTGTGCCACTTTCAGAGAGACAGTCATCAGATACGTTTGTTTGAAGAAATTTTGCAACGTTATAGAGTACCGTGTCATACGGTATGATGAAAGGAGATTAAAACACTTTAAAAATTGTTGTAACTAAATCTTCTGTCTCAGGTCGATCCCCCTCTTGTTCAAGGCAAACGATAAATCTGATATCAAAACTATCCTCATGCATCGAGTCTTCCAAACTCGAAACATTAGGAGATGTGTCATGGCTACAATCTTAATTCTGAATAAGAGGAGAACTCTTGTTTCTCTTATAAGATGAATTCATAATTAACCATGATCAGTAAAGCAATATTGTCTTGTTTGAATTATCATGGGAACCTAAAGAAGACACAAACAAACAACTCTTCACGCGCGCGCGCGTAGATATATATTATTTCTTAATATAAACATTCAAGATCAAAAATAAAATATTTTAATTGATCAATAACAGATTAGGTTAAATCAGTGAAAAATTAATTACAAGACTTACTTGATTTTATATTACTGATCAAAACGAGTCAGTAACTCCAAAATTAAAGTACTTTGGAGTATGAGAATGGATGTTTAGGGAATAACCATCTATGGCTTCTAATCTATCCAACCTCTTATTTTTATAGGCTTCTAATATCCAACCAAGTGATATGATATATATATATATATATATATATATCACTAGACCATAAGTTATGGATTATCTCTGAAAGAGACTATACGAATTATTAATTCCGATTCTTTTGGTTATATTTTTAAAATTGTTTAAAAAAAATCAAAGATTCCAATTTTACCTCCTGTTGAAATACTGTTGCGTTAATTCCACTCTTTTTCACAATTTTTTTTTTGAGTGAAACTCTTTTTCACAATTTTACAAAAGACTTATTAATAAGATTAAGAATAAAAGTTTCCCACCATTAGAAAACATGATAGATATCAAATAAAGTCTATAACCCAAATTAATTATTCTGATAGCTTTTAAAAGATAATCCATAATTTATGGCTTAGTAATATCATAATATCACTTTGTCGATTTTTTTAAACAAATTTAAAAATATAAAATTTTTCTTAATTGAAAATAAGTTATAATAAAAAGAATCACTTTAAGTATTTAACAATGTAATGCGTTAGCTAATTTTATATTATGGCATCCCTCATCTCTTTCCATCAAGAAAAAGAGCACTTAAAGGAATATTATAATAAATGATGAAAGAGTACTTATTAAGGGTATTTTGCAAGACATCAAGACATTCTATTACTCTGCTAATTCTATTTATAAAACATTTTTAATTGAATCACATATATTTAAATAAATCGTTAAACCATATATCACGGATTATCTCTAAAAAGTTATCAGAATAATTAATCCGGAATCTTCAAAATAGTTTAGTGATGATATCATAATATCAACCTTTATTTGATATATTAAACATCAACCAAAAGAATCAGAATTAATTATTCTGATAACTTTTAAGAGATAATCCATAATTTATGGTTTAGTGATAACATAATATAATTTGTTGATATTAAAAGTCTATTGTCACCAAAAGAGTCGGAATAACTTTTAAGAAATAATCCATAACTCATGGTTGGATATTAGAAGCCTATAAATATAAGAGGTCGATAGATTAGAAGGCATTGATGATGATTCCCTAAACATTCCATTTTCATATTCAAAAGTACTTTAATTTTGAAGCTACTGACTCGATATTACTGCCACACTATCAAGTAAGTCATCTAATTAATTTTTCACTGATTTAACTTAATCTGTTATTGGTCAATTAAAATGTTTGATTTCTGATCTTGTATGCTTATATTAATAAATAAAAAATATATAAACTTGAAGAGCACGAAATAATTTAGTTTATGAATTCATTCCTCTCAGGGCAAATTCAAAATTGAGATTGTAGCCATGACGACTCCCCATGTTTCGAATTTGGAAGAAGACTCGATCCATGAAGATAGTTTTGACATCAGATTCACCGTTTGTCTTGAACGAGTTGGGGATCCACCTGACACAGAAAATTTCGTGACAACAATTTTCGAACTGTTTCAATCTCCTTTCATTGTACCATGTGGCACGGTACTCCAAAATGTTGTAGAATTTCTTCAAACAAACGTATCTGATGACTATCTCTCTGAAAGTGGCACACAGACATTGGCGTCTGAAATCACATCTTATCATCAAGAAAGAGTTCAACATGAAACTACTAATAATTCTCCTCGCTTGATACCACTAGAAGTGTGTTTCTATGCTGATTATGATTGTGGTCGCCATACGCCTTTATTTTACGTCCTTGAGAATGCCCCTCATCATGAGGATCCTCAAGAATTGGAGGAAGCATATCGTCGAGCCTTCTTAGCTCAGTCATTAGAAGAAACTATGACACCATGGCCCTGTTTGGTACAAGGGAATGGGAGGATTGGCACAGGGATTGGTATTGGTATTGCTCAGTTTGTCATGTTTGGTACATAGACTTCAGCAATCCCAGGATTGCTCAATACCACTTTTTGTGGGATTAGCCAGTGCTGCCAGCCCCCCCGGTATTGAAAAATCAATCCCAGGAATGAACATTTTTGGACCAGATTACCCCTCACCCGCCCCCCCTTCCTCTCATTCTGCCATCACTATGCTTTTGCCTCTACTTTTGAAACTCCCATACACAACTATGTCGGCGTCGCCCTCCCCTTTAATTCTTGCGACGGTGATGATGCTGGAAAGAGGCAAAATTGAGGATGCTACGACGGCGACTTATCTCTATCTCCAGATCTCCGTCTTCCTTCTTGGAACCCTCGGCAATGGTTTGACAAGTCTTCGTCCTTCTTCGTTAAATCTGCCTCTGCTTCAGATCTTGAGTGCATAGCAATGGACTAGACCTAGTAGCAAAAGATGAAGATGTAAATCTGAACCTAAATGATAGAGTTGAAGCAGAGGCAGAGGTTGAAGCGGGTAAAAGATACGAAGATGAAGAAGGAACGGCGAAAGATGCAGAGTTAAATCATCATTGGAAACTCCTTTGTTTTTTTAAATATGATCTCATACAAGTTAATGATCTTGTATCTAGATCTCAAGGATTCGACTGCATCATCAAAAGGTTGCTGATAGATTTGTTATTGGTTTTGCACTGAATCAATCAGGGAATGCGGTGAAGATCAACGGCAAAGGCAAAGCAATTGCAGACTTTCTTTTCTAAAAAATTAATATGAAGGGGTATTGTTGCCTTTTCATAATTAATGACTGGTTATAAAATAAAATTAATGTAAACATTATTACTCCTTACCAAACATAATTTTAAAGCCACAATCCCAATCCCAATCCCACTCCCAATCCCATTTCCAATCCCATTCCCAGTCCACCCAAATTCAAACCTGCCTACCAAACATAACCCATGGGTCCTTGAATCGTGTCTGATTCCAGCATCACAAGAGGCTCTGGCATTGCTCAAGAAAATACAAATGCCTAACAAAGAAATAAAGGTAGAGCTATGTAGTATCTGCTTAGAAAAGTTTGATGATGGTGATGAAGATGTTTCAGCAACACCCTGTGGCCATGTTTATCACACTACTTGTATTGTCAGTTGGCTCCAAACAGGTCATATGTGTCCCTTGTGTCGCTACCAAATGCCTACAGACTAAAAAATTTCATTATTTTGGTGTTTCTTTGTGAAATAGTCTCAATTCTTTCCCATTCATTTGACTTTCTCAACAGTGACATTGTTTAATGTCTTTTTTATATTGAGAAAGAAGCTCAAATTGTGATTGGAAATTTGATTAATTCTATTAATAAATATATACTTGATTGAATGTGATTATAAATATGTTTACGGATGTATTTTCGGCTAGTGCAAAATTAGAATCTGAGTTGACGAAGGTGATTTTGAGGCCCTGTTGGGCTAGTTTGTTAGAGAGGATCATGAGAAAAATCACATGTTCTTGAGCTGGGCTGCTCATAATTCTGGAGATGAATGGTGGATGTTTTGTTCTGGTTTATTTTATAAAATTTTTTTAAATAATAAAACGTAATAAATTTTATATGATACTCCTCCGGTCCTTATTATAAGACCCAATTTGACTTTTTATTTGGTCCTAATTATAAGACCCAATCCATTTTGTCTCTTATATTTATGCATTTTTTTCCAAGATAATCCTTCTAATAATGATAGTTTTAGCCAATATACTTAATTAGTAAGGATATTTTAGGAATGACAACACTTATTTATTATAAATAACCAATTTAACTTACTTCCTTAATCTCCTTAAATAAGTCAATTGGGTCTTATAATTAGGACCGGAGGAGTATCATAAATTTTTGAAAATATATGTATTAGAATTATGTTTTATCGATTAAAAAGGTTTTTTTTCTGAAAAATATAGATATTTAAATAACTCTTATGTTAAAGACAATATTTTAAAACTCGGACTGAAACATCAAGCAAAAAGATTAGTGAGTCCTAGTTTCAATGATGGGATCGATTAAATCGTTCTAGTAAAGCGATAAGTAAATAAAAGATAATATTATACACATATATAATAATATATATAAAAATTAAACTGTTGGACAATTTAAAAAAATAATTAAATAATTAAATAATTCAATTTCATGATTTTAGAAGTGATTCAACCTATCATAATTTAAATAATATATTATATATACTAATTTATTTTTACTTTTAAATCAATTATACACATATATGATCATTAAAATTTTTTTTAAAAAAATGATATAAGTATTGTGAAAAGTAACATAGCTCATAAGGCCTGTTTGGTACAAGGCATGGGAGTGGTTGGTATTGGCACTAGCACCGGAATTGCTTATTTTGCTATGTTTGATAGGAGGATATTCGTAAACTTGGGACTAAATAGGAAACAAAAATAGGAATCATAGACCCATATTTGCAGAAAATCATGAACTTGAAGCAGTCAAATCAAAGGTGGGTCATCTTCGCGGGCTGCCATAACCAGGTCAAGAGAAATCACCATCCTCAACTAAAAGTGGAGTTCCTAGGATTTGTGAAAGTGGAGGGCCAAGGTGGGTGATGCTTTGAAAGATTACATCTATGAAAGAGAAGGGTGAAGGTGGGTGAAACTTACAACATCGCAGATGGTTTTGAAGTTTGGGGTTAAGAGAGAGGAGGGTACTATAGTCTTTCTTAAGTAATAATTGTTTATAAAAGAAAATTAATAAAATCAATCCTTTGAAATATTACTTCACATCAAACATAATTTTAAAGATTCATTCCCACCCCTAATGTCAATCCCAGCCTCAATACCAATCCCATTCCCAATCTATTAAAATTTAAACCTGCCTACCAAACATAACCATAAGTTCTTCCATGAGCCGGTTCTGAAGCAATATATAAATATATACTACCTCTGGTTTTTAATATAAGACCTCGTTTGACTTTTATGTTGGTTCTAAATATAAGATCCCAATCCATTTTGTCTCTCATATTTACTCAATTTTTTCCAAAATAGTCCTTCTAATAATTATAGTTTTAACCAACATACTTGATTAGTAAGGATATTTTAAAAAAAAAAAACCTATTTATTACAAATAACTAACTTAACTTTTTTTCTTAATTTCCTCAAATTAGTCAACTGGCTCTTATAATTAGGAGATTAAGAAAAAAAGTTAAGTTAGTTATAAAAGTTAAGTTAGTTACAATACTTACAAATTGTCTTTTTATAAAAAAAAAATACTTTGAAATTTTCTAGTTCTATTTTTCAATTGAAAAGGTTAGTGGAGATTTTCGAATTTCATTGTAAGTATTGATACATATCCATGGCACATCTCATCACTCATTGTAAGTATTGATTATTAAGATTAATGAGTGATGAGATGTGCCATGGATATGTATCAATACTTACAATGAAATTCGAAAATCTCCACTAACCTTTTCAATTGAAAAATAGAACTAGAAAATTTCAAAGTATTTTTTTTATAAAAAGACAATTTTAATTAAAGATAAAATTATACGTAAAAACTATCGAGTCCTTTCACATGATAGAAGCATTGTGAAATGAGGAACCCAAAGAAGAAAAACCAAACAGGCAGTAGCTACACCAAGACAGCAAAAATCAAAGAAGGGTTGGATCTAAAAGTAGACCCAAACTCCAGGGAGTAGTATTGAGATGGTCCATAAAGCACACTTTTCCCTCAATATCAACCATCCCACCTCTAAACACGAGTGTTCTGAGAGCTCCAACTCCCTTAAAGAGTCAACCTGCGAATGTGATCGTAGACTTGCTTTCGAAAAGTGATGTCACCAAGAGACATCCTGTAGATGTAACGTCTCACGACATCTGCACTTTTTAGGGTGTTGAAATAGATCATAGTACTGCATACCAATAATAACAAGGTGGAGTCCAACACAAGGGGTTCAGAAGTGCCATGAACTTAGATTGAGTTTCTTATTCCTAAACTGACAGCGTAAAGAATGAGACACCGAACAAAAAGGGAAGGGTGTTTGGAAAAGCAAGAAAGAAGAAACAGAGGAACCCATGACAAAAAAAGAGATGGGCGACAAACAATAAAGAAGAAAACTAGCGAAGAGGCAAAGGGAACGAAGGCAAAGACAGTGGAAAGAAGAATAGAGATGATGAGGAAGGCAAGGAAAAGAAAAAAAGAGGTGGTGGAAAGGCAGTGAAAAAGCAGAGGAAAGGTAAGGACAAAAGAGTAGGTGGAAAACAAAACAAGAGAGGAGAAGAAGAAGAACAGATAGATGAGACCAAACAAAAGAGACGCTGGAAAAACTTTGAAAGAAGCGCCAATAGGAGAGACTCCCCGGCAGAGGGCCGAAAGCTGGTGGAAGGAAGAAATTCAAGGTGGTAAAGACAGAGCTAGAGAGGCATAAGGCCAAAGACCAAATGGAAAGTTGGAGGGAAACCCAAAAAAAAAGAAAGAAAGAAAGATAAAATGATAACGAATTAGTCGAAGAAACGTCATAGTAACGCCGGAAAAGCACCAAAATGGTGCTGAAAAAGCATCAACAATGGTCCTTTTAATTTCTTTCATATGCAGATTTATCTAAGGTTTTATTGTCTCTCTTTCATATATAGATTTACCCTCTATTCATCTTTTTGGCTCTCTTTCATTTCAACTCTCAGCAGCTTCCTCAAGGTTTTTGCTAGCCACATAGACTAAACGGCTTTCTCTTTAGTTAATGGTGTAAGGAGGCAAAAATAAAAGAGAAACAAAGAAAGAAAAGAACAATGAAAATTTAAAAAGGAAAAAAACAAAGAAGGGGGAAAAAAGTTGAAAGAGAAAAGACTCTTGCTCTCTGTTTTTTTCCCGATTCCATCATGCTCTCTCTCGAGCAATTTGCTTGACATTAACTACACTTGAGAACTCTCTTATGAGTTTGATTTATGATTGGGTACACACATCAACGGTGATTCAAGCTGAAAAAGACCGTGTTCTGAATTCTCCAGAACCTGTGGACCATTTTTGGGTAAGACAAGGCGAGTTGTATTGGAAAAATCGTTTAGTGTTACCCCATGATGATCACAAACTCATAAAACGAATATTAGAGGAGTTCCATTCATCCGCCATTGGAGGTCATGTAGGATACCTTCGGACTTTTCACCGTGTTGCTTGACTATTTTATTGGCCACAGATGCGACGAGAAATCAGAAACTATGTCAAATGTTGCGTTGTATGTCAGAAAGCCAAAACTAGTCCACTCCACCTTGCTAGTTTACTTAATCCTCCGCCCATTCCAAAACATATTTGGGATGATATTTCAATTGATTTCATTACAAACCTTCCTCCAGTGAAAGGATATGCTAACATATTTGTGGTG